TGAGCCTCAGCCCAGCTCTCTCTGTCCCCTTCTCTGGCCACACTGTCACCCCTGGGCCTGTCTCTCTGGATCCTGTCCCTGCTGGTCTCTGACTGTCCACTGTCAGCTCCACCTGAGCTCTGGTGTGGGTGTCCCAGGCCCCAGGTCTCAGCCCTCTTCCCCTGCCTCACCCTCATCCTATGCTTTGGGTCTACTGGGTCTGTGGGTTTCTCCCTGAGGTCCAGGAGCCTGCCCTGTCTGGCACGGTGACCGTGAAGGGTACGGGGTTTGGGTGTGCCCAGGGAGCTGGTGGCTAGACCTGGGTGATACAGTGCCTGAGCTGCTCTGCCCTCACCACAGACCAACCTGGCTCTGAACAGCCCATGCCCAGCTGCTCCCAGCTCTCAGTGATCTCTGCTGTGGCCTTTGGACTCTTTGCGCCTTTCCTCAGCTGTGCTCTGCAGGGGTCCTGTCCTCTAGGCCTCTCCAAGCAGAGGGTTCATGCCCAGCTCTCAGATGGTCCCAAGAAGGACAAGCAATATAGATGTCTGGGCAGCTTGCTTGGTCCCATGGAGCTGGCCAGCCTTGGGAACCCTCAACCAGATTGTCTGAGGACAGGACTTCAGTTTTTAGGAGGCAAGCTCAAGTGTTCAGAAAGAGGGCTCTGTGGGATACCACTTCTGATTATACTCAAAGTCTGGTCAATAGATTCAAATCCAGGGAAACATAAGTGCACGTGAGGAGACTTAAGTTCACAATCCTGCCCTCAGGGACATGCACATAATGGGCCACAGTTATATAACATTGACTTAACATACTTAGCCATGCATGTGTGCATGGTCAAGGTCACACAGTTGGTGTTTTGTCTCACCATGTCCCAGTAAGCTGAAAACAACTACTATAACTGCTCTAAACTAAAGAGCACTATAGCTAGTTTTGCTAAAGGAATAAAGACCAACAGTTCTTGAATGTTTGAGCTCTGGTTCTAGTTCTCTTGCTCTGATGCTGTTCTTTTAGTGATAATTCATTCTGTGTCCTGTTCTTTATTGGGGAATTAACTCACTCACGGTGGACCAGTGTGCAAACCCCTCTCCAGCTGCCCCTGCCGCGGCTTGGCCAAGACAGACTCAGTGTTCAGGACCGGTCCCTATGATAGAGTTCAGATCCAAAGGTCAGCACCAGGTCCTTGTGATAAAGACCAGGCCCAGTAATCATAACAGCCTCAGTGTGTAAGAGCCAGAGTCAGTGTTCAGGAGCATTACCGAGTGTTACACCAGGTCCTTGTGATTAAGACTGGACTCATTGATCACACCCAGACTTTGTGCTTAGGAACCAGGCTCATTGTCTGCATCGGAGCTCAGTATTCAGGACCAGGGCTGAGTGTTTATACCAGGACTTTGGGATTAAGACTGGGCCCATTGAGCCTCAGTGGTCAGGAACCAGTCTCAGTGTTCAGGATCAGTGAGCCCCGATTCTGAACACTGAGCCTGGTTCCTCAGTGTTCGATGGTAGATCCTTGTGATAAAAACCTGGTTCAGTGATCATGAGCTTCTACACTTATAGTGGTTAGGAACCAGGCCCATTGTTCATGACCAGTGTTCAATTTCAGGCTCAGGTCATTGTAATAAAGACTGGCTCAGTAATCAAGACTCAGCCTCAGTGCTAAGGAACCTGGCTCAGTGTACATACTAGGGCCCAGTGTTTGGTACCAGTTAAAGATCTGTCCCCGTGTTTACGTCCCATGCTCATTGTTTACAAACCAGGCTAATTTTTAGGACCAGGGATCAGTGTTCAGCACCAGGTCCTTGTGATAAAGAGCAAGCCCCATAATCATGACCTAGCCACAGTGCTTTGGAATCAAGCTCATGTTCTGCATTAAGGCTCAGTGTTCAGGACCTACCCTCAGTGCCTAGAGTTGTGGTTCTTGTTTACCATCACTTTCTAGTTACCAGGATCAGGGCCAGTCATTAGGTCCATTACTTGATCTAGCTCTGAAAATGAGTCTTCCTGGATACTCTCTCTTCGTGCAGCCTACATTCAACATTAAGTCTCAGTCTATGTGAGATGAGATCATACCTTAGACCCTGGACAAGGGTCACCCCACATCCATCCAGCCCTTTTACCCTGATGTTCTTTGAGGCAGCATGCTCTGGTCTGGTGTCTCCATGCTTCCCCAATTCCCTCCCCTCATCTGAGAACATTCCCTTGAGAGTCTGAATGTTTATCTTTGGCATGTCTTTATTGCACAGTGAAGCATGTGAATGGGAGGGAGGCATTGTCACACAGGGCTCAGCTTTGCCATGTAGAGGGCTCCTCCAGGCTACCTCCCTACAAAGAGAAGAGGGGGCAGAGCCAGACAGGTTCCTGAGGCACTGTGTCCTTGTAGTGCCCCTGTCCCACCCCTGGCCTGGCTTCTGGGAGCCTTGCCATGATGCCATCCTTCTCTGGTGTTCTGAGTCTGTGAAGGGACCCTGGGAGAGCAGAGCCCCAATGTGGTGGGACTGGTGATCCTCTCCCTAGACCAAACACTCCCTGTGTTTCAGGCTCTCTGTGTCCCTCCTGCCCCCTGCACCTGTGCCCGGATGGCACTTGCTCAGTATTGGGGACCTTCTTTGCTGCCAGGTTGGACCCTCACAATAGTCACTGTCAATGCTGTGCTGTAGAAGAGGCTCAGCAGGAAGAGGGTGAGGAGGGTGACAGTGGTGGGCCACAGGCTGTCACCTGGGATGTCCTCCTCCAGGACGTCCTGTGGCTGGTCCAGTACCACCCAGGGAAGCAGCTCTCTCCATTCTGGAAGACATAGAGGACCCATGTGGGTAGAGACCCAGAAGGCACTGCCCCTCCCACTCCATCTTGGGGTCTGGGGACTGTGGCAGTAGGGTTAGCTCTCAGAAGTCTGAGAGGCCAGAGAGGATGAAGAGTAGGAGGTAGGAGCCTGGAACCCTTGCAGCTCTTGAGATGCTCCCAGGACCCATCCTTCAGGGGCCCTTAGAGAGAGACCTGGCAGGGCAGGAAGGTGGGAAATGTCTTTGAGCATCCAAGGAGAGTGGCAGCCCAAGGCCGCCTGGGTTTCAGCCTTGTCCAGATATGTGGCAAGTTCTCACCAAGGCCTGGTACTAGGGCCAGCCCTGGTTTGGGTCCTGGGGCAGAGAAGGACCAGATAAGCCCTCAGGGAGAACTGGACCAAAGAGTCCTGGGTCATTGAGCCAAGGGCTGGATGAGTGTGGCCAGAAGCCTCTGTTACCTTTCCTGAAAATGTGGCTGAGGAGTCAGCAAAGAGGGCCAGGTGAAGGCTATCAACACAGACTTCAGACATAGATTTTCCATGTTAATTGGGAGTTGTACCTACTGGTCATGTGCTGTTCTACCCAGCCATTTTTTTCCCTCTATCTTTCCATTCATCCATTCATGCATGGATCCATTCTTCCCGTCAACTATCATTCACCCACTCTACACCCATCTGACCATCTACCTGCCCATCCATCTATCCATCCATCCATCCATCTTCCCCCTACCCACCCACTCATCTGTCTACCCATGCAACCTTCCACTCATCATATGTGTTGTGATCCATCCTCCTATCAGCTCTGCTCTCCACCTGCTGGTTCAGCACTCCATTTCTTGATTCTTCCTCTTTCCCCTCTCTCTAGACAAGTTTCTCCTTTGGGACAGGTCCTGGTTCTTTGAAGCAAGATTTCCCAATTGGCCCTTTGCTTTCTCTGTTTCCCTCTGGTGATGGGGTAAGAGTGTCAAGGGTGAATGTATGGCGTCCCCTCCACCTTGGCTTGAGAACAGAGAGAAGCTGCTAGGAGCCAAGTCCCCTGGGAAGGCCCAGAGGCAAGCTCAGAGGCCCCGCTGCCCCCTTGTGGACATCTGGGTGCCAGGTATCCCCACAGGGCTTGTGGACTGTTCTCTTCATGCTTTTGGGGCCCAGCAGAGCTAGAGACCCACAGAGCTCCATTTGGAACAGTCTCCCTGGCCTACTCCTGACTCCTCCCCAGCCTGCCCCTGCCTGTCTGTGGTTTGAGTCACACTTAGGCTTTGGGCGGTGGGGAGGTATGGGCAACTTGAGCTTTGGGTGCAGGGGCTGCCTGGGAGGGGTGTTTGGATATCTAGGGAGGCTGGGCATAGTGAGGCTGGACGTGAGAAACCCCGGGGCTGGGAGGGGACTCCCCTGCTTTCCTAGAGCTGGGTGTGGGCAGTGCACTTGCTGCACCTGCAAGGCTCAGACATGTGTGAGTGTGCGAATGTGTGCACGTGTGCCCTTGTGGAGGTGATGAGTAGTGTGTTATCAGGGTCCATGTCCACCCAGGTGGCCCCCCTGACTCAGTGGCTATCCCATGTAGCTGTGTTGCTGCCCAGAGCTGACCCAGGGAGGGGAGGTGCCTGCCCTGGGGGCTGTCCCTGGAATCAGCTCTCATTCTCTTGCCCCCCTCCTCCAACCCACTGCAAATGGCACAACCTTGTCTGGGTTTCCTGCTCCTGTCTGCCCTTTGTTGGCCTCCCTGGCTGAAGCCATGGCAACCCCAGTCATACACACTACTTTACCAGCTGCCATTTCCCATGACTGCACTGCTCTCAGGGACCCCTGTGGCCTGTGCCCACTTCAGAGACTCTGCCAATCTCAGATTTCACACCGGGCTGGGCCTGAGCCCTTGTGCACTGCACACTCACAGGCTCGTGCACACTCACAGGCCCATGTATACACATTCACAGACACAGGTACATACACATCACAGGTACAGGCTCACAGGCATGCACATAGACTCACACGCATAGGCACACACAAATGTACACAGCACACACACACACACCCACAGGCACACACAAGTGCCCATGGCACACATACATGCACACTCACTCTCAGGCACATGCACACTGGTGCACACATCGAAGCCCAGGGCCCCAGCAACTGGGGCAGGGCTTGTCCTTTCCTCCTGGCCTGGCCCTTCCCTCTGTGCTGCACACCCGGAGGATGGATGGACAGGCAGACAGGCGCCAGATGGAAGTGTGGGCTGTAGTGGGTGAGCATGGTGTTTATTGAAAGGGCAGGGTGGGCAGGGAGGCTCAATAGCAAGTGCCATCTGCCTCCGACATGATCACAGACACGTTGACATGGGTGGGTTTACCCGAGTGGTGGTCGATGGTCTTCTGGGTGAAGAGCAGGGGCAGGGACTGGTGGCCCACCGTGCAAGAGAAGTTGTCCCCCTGCTTCCAGTCCGCGGCTGTCACCCGCAGCACACTGGTCACAGCATAGGTGGTAGCACCCTCGTTGGGCTCCTCCAGGGTACACCACACCAGGTAGCTGCTGCGGGGCAGCTCTTGGCTCCCATGCAGCCAGCGCACCAGCACGTCCTTAGGGCTGAAGCCCCGCACCAGACATGTCAGTGACACCAGCTCGTTCAGAGCCAGCTCTTCCGACGGCGGCGGCAGCAGATGGACCTGGGGCTGCAAGTTCTCTGTGGGGCAGAGACCTGGGTCAGGGGCTAGGCAGGGAGCAAAGAGTACCCCACTGAACCCTGACCCCTGAGCCAGCCTCAGTTTCCCTCTGTAAAGTGGTGTGGGAGCAGGAGTGGGGGCTGGACCCACCTTTAGGCTTTGTGATGGTTTCTGTCTTGTTGCCTTTTAAGTCAGGGTGGGTGGCCGTGCAGGTGAAGTTCTGCCCACTGTTCCAGAGTTCGGCACAGACAGGCAGCACACTGGAGACGCTGCAGCAGCCACAGTGGTCATGCTCAGCACGCTTCTGGATGGGGGTCTTCCCGTCTGTGGACTCCCAGGTGAAGGTGGCCCCCAGGCTGCTCTTCAGGCCGCTCAGTGTGCATGTGAGGTAGGCCTCAGAGCCCAGGAGCAGGTCCTTAAGGGCTGGCCCCTGCAGTGACAGTCTGGGCCGGCAGCATTTACACCATGGTGGACCTGTAGGAGTTGGTATTAGTGAGAGAGGGCCTGGCAGGTAATTTCCCCCCTCTTGCTCCTTCCTTGCCCATCTGGGCCCCTCCTGGGCTCTCTGTGTCCACTCCTGGGCTGAGCCAGGCAGTCCGCCTTTGACTCTAAGCCGCCTAGAGGAGGACACAGGTGCAGGAGGGGTGGTCCACCCCAGCTCACCCTCTCACCTAAGCATGGCACGACCACTTCTATGGGGTCATTTGTGGCATGTTGCACGGTGCATGTGATGTTTGCGTCCTCTGGGCACTCGGCGGCTGGCAGGCTCAGCAGGCTGGTTATGATGTATTGGCTCCCCTCCTCAGTCAGGGAAGGTGGGAAGTTTATGATGATCACTTGTTCCCCAGGCTTGCTCCAGGTCACGCTCACAGGTCCCGGGGGGAAGAAATCCTTGATCAGGCAGCCGAGGACCACAGGATCTCTGGACTGGCACCGTGGGAGGCTCAGTGGGAAGATGCTGGGGGGAGTCATGGGCTCTGGAACATGGAACACACTGTGAGATGGGCACAGAGAGGTCAGGACCATGTTGCCACTCCTTATGGTGGAGGAACCTGGCCCACGAATGCCCGGTGACTGTTCTGGTCGCACTGGGGCCATGGCCTGGGGGTAGAGCTGGCCAGCCTGTCCTTGCTACCTGGGATCTGAACATGACCCTCAGACAGCCTTTGGATGAGATCTGGTCAGATGTTTCAGACAGGGCCTCTGCGTGAATGGGGAGCCAGACCTAGCAAACCCTGCTAGGCCACTGAGCATCCTGGTGCCCAGGCAGGAGCTGAAGAGCCTGAGCTAGAAGGCTGTAGGAGTGGGGTGGGAAGGGCTGGCTTGGGGTGATGGTTGCACTGTGGAGCCAACTTCATTGGTGATCCACTTCACACATGCCTTGTAGGGCCCAGGCCTATCGCCCACTGCACCATGACTCCACCCTCAGGCAGCAGCCAGCACCCATGGCTTTGATGGGTCCCAAGGCCAGAGCCCATGTGTA